AAACCAAACTGCATCCATGAGAGTAAGGTGACCAAAAGCCTGTAAGCAGTACTGATTAAAAGCAAACATGCTACACTGAATATTTCCACACAGCAATGAAAAAACCCACACATATTAGAGTTCTCACAGCAAAGATAACTTGACTGCATTACACATATGGAATATATATGATTATTAGTTAGTGGTAGCCAGTATATTGGCCCCCCATCTACCAACACACGCAGTGATACATCAAGGAATAGCTTGAGACGCCTACTCGGGGCACACTCAGAGAAGGCCATTCAGGAAGAACATTGTTTGGAAGACCTCCAGGCTTCTTCACGATGTTGTGGGACCACCACCTGGATCCTCTGCAGCCCCCAGATACCCAGGAAAAAAGTATTCTTACAATCCCGCAGAACCTACTACAGGACTAAACTGGGGAATCGGTACCTGCTGAAGGAAAATAGGAGAGCAAAGTGGGGGACTGACCAGCAGCTGAAGATCTCACTTCTCAACCTCAGAGCACAGGGAAGAAACAGCTAGCCAGCTTTGTAGACAAATACTAGTTGACTGTCTTCCTCAATTAACTATACCTCATTTAGCAACCTTGGAATGTCCCAAATCCTTTGGCTTTATGGTGTTGTATTTTAGAACAGCAGCATAGAAACAAACAGTGCTGTAAATAGTATATTAAAGATCTGACCAATTGCATGTTAAGAAACTGCACACAGCTCTGAAGTTATGGAACAGATCTATTAGGGCAGTGTTTCTCAAACGTGGCCACCAGCAGATTTTTTTGCAGCCACAACAGCCTCCAAAGCATGGGCAGAGATTGAGGGGACAAAGCAGCAAGACCCACCTTGCAGTGCCCAGTTGTTGCTCCTTAATAGCTGTTACCAAGGGCAGCAAGATGCACTGTTTGCTGGTGCTGCGGCACCCTTTTCTGTGCAGCCTTCTCAAGGCTCTGAGCAGCACCTCTGAAGACATGTGATGCCGGTGCTCGGTGAGTCTGGGACCAGGTGACCAGGGCTCGGGGAGTCTGGGACTCTGCAGGTAGCCAGTGAGTTCCCAACTCACCTTCCCCAGGACGGGCTCTTGCTGAAGGGCCATAGGAGGTAGGGACAGAGAGACCAGTCAGTGCTTCCCTCGCCTGGACTGGACTCGCTGTTTACAGTTGCTGTAGCTACCGCAGCAGCTCAGTGGCTCCTGGCTGCTGCAGAGCTTGGCAACTCCCTGGCAGGGTGAGGGGGACATGCTCTGAGCGCAAGAATAGGAGCAAAGTCTGGGTAGAACTGTTGTAAAGACATCCACCTTTTACCAAAAAAGCAAAAGAACAAAACAAAAAAGACAAAAATGTGCAAAGCACCTTATTTGTTTTTAGGTCCAGTAAAGAATAGAAAGAACTGTACATTATTTTTATTATTGAGTCTGCAAAAAACTACATAAACAAATTACAATGATTTGGACATGTATATGTGCCTGTATATTCATTTTCCTAAAGTTAATTATTTTAGGAAAAATTATCAGAGCAGCCACCACCAAGAGTTGGTGTCCACATTCTGAGGCCACCAATTTTTTTTTTTTTTTTGGGAACCCATGTACTGTATTAGGGTAGCAATTTGCAGAGTCCTAGCAAACACTGGCCCTGATCCTGTAATCCTTCAGTATGCACAACTCATACTGACTGATTTTACATGGCTTCCAACATGAAAGGGCTGGATGACAGGATAACAATCATATCTTACATTTGATAAGAGCTTTCTACATACTAATGGAGTCTACTACAGATTTTCATAAATCTTTTACATTTTGAGCTTGAGGAAACATTTAGTATTCCATTTCATTGTGGGGACAGGATTTATATGCATCCATTAATAAAACAAAGCTTTTATCAAACTATAGCCACTTATAAACTATAACCACTGATTCAAATTCCAAATGGACTTGGGAGAAGTCCAGAACTAAACTTTGCAACTGAGTGTATCCCACTACATACTTGTGGGCAACCAGACTGAAATGAAGACAGAGTTGGAGTAAGACTTTTGGAGACAGAAGCAAGAGCTTTCTATTTTTTAAGGCAAAAAGTGGAATGAGCAAAATATTCCTCCAAGGGCCAAGAAACCATGTTTTTAGCCCATTTCTGATTTACATCTAATTTGTCAGATGCTGGGCTTGAGGCTCCATGAGGCCTATGAAAACAGAGAAGACAAGTGGGAATTTTTAAAAAAAAACTTTAATATCTTCTCATTAATATAATTCAGGAATATAGAAAATGTAAGAGTTTTACATAAAACAAAAGTCACTTCAACCCAAAAGCTCTACTGAGCTGCCCACCAAATCATTTGGAGAGTCTTTTTTTTGAAAAGACTGTCTTCCAAAAACAGATATATTCCCCTATTTGAACTGGTTTTGATCTTACACAGCTTTACATTGTTTATAATCCCTGGAAAAATTTTAAATTTACTTTAAAATCAGCTTTTCTGTTATTTCCTGAAGAGTGCCATATTCAAGCGGTCTACTCCCCGATACGGTACAGTTCTGACTGAAACGCTGTCTTCTAAAAGCTCTTACTGGCTTTCAACTTCAATTTGTATTCATTTATAAATGGCTTGAAAAAATTACTTAACACATACTGGCCCAAAGGTTAAGCCTACTTAGGTGAAAGCTATTGTGACCACATCTGCCTGCCTGCACCTTGTTCAGGGACTTCATCCTTTGAAGGAACATGTGGCTTGTATACAGTTCTGATAGTTTTCCAACTCCCCCAGAATTCTCTTTGACTACTAGAAGGGAGAAAAGGAACCTTTGTTGATTCCCTTCTTTCCCCTCCACCCGTTTTCAGGTATACTAGCTGCTGCAAGAGGTGTGGGTGTCTCCAGTATTCTACACCTCCCTTGGTCTTCTACCTTCACAGAAGCCAGTAGGGATGTAAAAGGTTAACCGGTTAACTGGTAAGCATTAGTCTGACCAGTTAACCCACCTGAGCCATTAACCCCAGGCCTACCAACCCAGTGGCCCCACCGCCCAGCCCCGGCCCTGCTGACCGGCGGGATCAGCAACCGCCACTTAATTGGTTAACTGTTTAAACAACGTATTTTTAATCATTTAAACATTTAACTTTTAAAATGATACTTACATCCCTAGAAGCCAGAGGTATCTGCTACTTGACACTGCATGCCCAGCTTCTGTTTTTGACCCTCTTCCTCAGGAACTTACTACAGTGATGATGCTGCTGCTACTCATAGCTTTGTCTGTCAGCCACAGAGTTGAAAATAGCAAGGTTCTTGTCAGTTTCGCTGCTCCCCATAAGGTCCTGCATAGCCACAGTGAAAACTGACAAGACTGCTTGAATATTCTGGTGCTCTCTCATCCTTTTGTCAGAATAAAAATTGGCCAGGGTCTTCAGCCTTTGGAAGATTGCACTGTGGTGGTCTGATTTACATTTGGCTCATGTCTGGAAAGGTGATCTTCACAACCTTAAGGGCTGAAGAATCCCTTCCTTTTAAATTTGAAGTTTAGATTCTGTGGAGGTTAATAGTATTCCCCTGAGAAAGCTTCCTATGCTCTATGAGCAAATGGATTTTGCAATCCCTTCAGATAAACACTAGTTAAAAATGATAAAAAACCATTTTTCCCCCCTTTACATTTTTATTTTTATTGTTTTATTCCCTAAGTGACAACACAATTTTCCTCTTAGTTAGTGACTTTAGGGGAAAAAACTATTTTATTTGTATGTAAATTTTTGTTCAATTTATTTTGACTGGAAGTCATGACTACCTGCTTTGAACACTAGTTTTGAAACACCTTTGAGCTATAGAACTACAATCCTGAATCCTGACAGAACTGATTCAGCCCTTATCTTTCTGAGATAGTGAAGTATGCAGAACTCAGTCTATTAGCTCAAACCTTAAAAACAAGGGTCCCCCCACATCTCCCCTTAGGATAATCCCTCAGGATCCTTGGCCAACAGGATCCTCTCCTCACCCTAATGAACATCTCACTTGCTGTTAGCTATATTTCCAGTGGTGGACGAAGGGATGAAGAGACTGTTTGACATATCTAGGACCTGATACTACAAAGTGCTTAACTCACTGACTCCCATAAAAGTAGGAGGCACTCAGCACATCACAAAGGGTGATCAGCACCTCACAGGATCAGGCTCACAGTCTGTAAAGGGCTTCAAGATTCTTATAAGATGAAAATGATATATTTTCCTGGTTTTACTTTTACACACAAGTACTAATGGGTATTAATGTTAACTGCGACACAGGCATAGATAAAAATATTCCCCTAAATCAGAATTCTTTATAGTGGCATCTTAAATATGCAAAGTAGCACACAAAACAACCCACTACGCTCTTACAACAAACACTAAGTAGTCTGATAAGGAGCCTCATACAAACTTCTGCAAAAAGGATGAAAGGTATTTCTATTCTAACTGATTCTCTTTAGCCCTGATTCTACAATTAGATTAGTGCAGGTGGACTTTGTCTGGACAGTGCCACAGTAGGGCTGTACATGGGTTCAGGGGTCCATCTGTGTGGATGAGATTGCAGAATCAGGGCCTAAGTGCTCATGCAATTCCCTTAGAAGATCTCTGTGTAGTTAATTTCTCAGTTAATTGGCAATTGTGCAGTATTTTGGCACATGATGATCATCATCCAGTAAGGTATATACTGTTTTAGTGTCACACTATGGCTAAACTTTCTTTTTATTAAAGCAATGGCTTGGTTTTGGTAGGACTGATTTATGGAAAGGAAATTATTTAATGGAAAGTGATGGGGCTAACAACGTGAGGGTCTGTCTCAGAGAAATTTACAATACAACGTTGTCTTCAATGCAGATAAAGTGTTAGTACAGGTTTGCAGAGTTGGACCCTGATGATACCACTCATATTGGCTTCAGCTGGATTAGCCATTTGAGTAAGAGTCTGAGGGGGTACTGCGGCCTTTGGTGCTACTGTGAACCGAGGTAGAGGAAAGCAAAACCTCTTTCAAGTTTGTTTATTTTTTACTCACTGACTGACTGATTCAGCTCTAGTCTTATCTCCACCACGATCTGCATCTTCATCAGTATCAGAGTCCGCACCAGTCTCACCTGAATGTATAAAATTTCAGCATATGAGATTATAGCCAAGGGTTGCTTCCTACCTGCTTAGAGTTATTTGCAAAACTTAATTTTACCTGAAGTCAACAGTGTAGTTTTTTCCAATTGAAGGAGATGTTCTAAAATTACATTTACCCAAAAGAAAAAGCAATATCTGAAACTGCTGCTGCCCACAAGCTGAGACTAGTTTGAACTATCCTTTGATTATCCATTAAAAAATATGAAAATCCAGCTTTGTTATTGTACTAAGGGTAAAGGGCAATGAAAAGCCTCAGAGAATCAATCCAAGGCTCTCTGCATCACATAAGCCCCACAGTGAGCTACACAAGAAGGTGAAACACCCACTCAGTGGACCTCTGCATCTCCTGCAACCAAAGAGGAGCTCAACACTGGCACAGAAAAGTTAGCAATAAACAAGCAATAAACAAGCCAGTGTTGAAGGGAATTTGGCAGACAGACCAGAGAAGGTACCACTGGGTCTGAGCTAGGTATTATCTGTGAATACACGGATCTAATACCGGGGAGTCACCAAGCATGGAGTGCAAAAGAGGCTGCAGATACTATTCCAGCTCATGGGTTTGAATGCAGCCACAGAGCAGCTACACATCAACCCTGGGGCCTATCATGCAACACATTCATATAAAACTCAACAACAGCACACTAAACTGTGGCTTGCCCCAAGTGCTTGTACAAGAAAATAGGACTCCGCATTACTTCCCAGCACATGCTACATATGCGAGTCACAGCAGGGGACAGAACAGCCTACATGGGACTGCTACACACCTTCATGCATCGGATGGGGGATTAGGTAAAACCATGACTCTACCCCAATGCCTCAGCCAGCACAGCTGAGCTGGTACAGCAGGGGATGGAATCTGCTACTCATACATAACAAAAGCAAATTATTTTCCTCTGTAGCACATGGGGATCCAAGTAAAGAAGTATGGCTAGAAACAGTCAATTCCCTTCCTGGTCTGCTCCTGGAGCAGCACCATACTGCCCGTTGCTATGGGTTGAGAGAAGATTCTCATTCTAACCCTATGACTCTATACAACAATCATGAATTTCGCTTTAGTAGAACAATAATCGAGAGCTGGTCAGAAAAAGGGATGTTTTCCTGCAGAAAATTTAGATGAAAATAAAAAATCTGGGTTTTTTTTTTCAAATTTCCATGGAAAAATTATACTTTTTGTTGAAAGTCTGATAACTCAAAACTTCACGGTGAAAAATTTCTATTGAGAAAAATCAAAATTAAATATTTTGTATTGATCAGTTCAACTTTAAACTGTGTCCATACAGGAAAATTGCAGGGGCTCTGGAGGTGGCAGTTTAATGTCAAATCAACGCAAAAGAAAAACATGTTAATTTGAAAGTGCTGAAATATACTTTTGGGAGGGTTTTTTTTTTGACAAAAAGCAGTTTTCCATAGAAAGACACTTTGCATGAAAAAGTTTGTTTTGTCAAAAACCCGATTTCCCATCAAAAATAGCTTAGACAAAGTTTTTGAGCAACCCTAGCTATATCACAGCAGATGACATTGGATAACCACATTTTTCTATCAACAGGTATTAACTTAAGAGCTATTGACTTATTACATATATTTTGGTTTAAGTATGTAGAAAAATATATTTAGCCAGATAATTAACTTTTACAATACTAGAAGTTTATTCCTTTCAAGTTATTTATTTTAAGAAATTTCTGAGGATGCAGTGGTCTGATATACAGAAAAGACCTATCTTTAAGGTAGATTCCTTTAACTGGGCACTGTTGTACAATTAAAGATCAAAATCTGTAGAATTTACCATAAGAGAAAATAAAGAACTAGTTCTTACCATCAAGAATCTTCAGGAGTTTTTTCTCAGATAGAAGTTCTAATTGATCCAGGCAAAGCCTTTTGATTTCCTCCATGGAACAATTCTAAGAAAATTGAAGTAATACATTAAAACAAAAAAATCCACATTCATAATCCACATATCTGAGGAGAAGCATATATGCAAACTACAATCAACCCTCCATTCCTACCAAAAATTAAACTGTTTTCTTTAGAGTGAAAGAATCTCAAATCATTGAGAGATGCGGATGAACCAAATCTGAAAAAAACAATTCTCTTTCTCTCTTCATCCCACCTCAAAGGGCTTTTGAATTCTTGCTGGGACCTGATGATCTTCTCTATTGTCTCTGATCCAGACAACCACCTTTGGAAGATGAACTGCAAATATAACATGAACATTCCAGCCATTTCAGCTCTACCTGCCGCATGTTCTCATTAACCAAACTAGCAGGGATATTATGTAATTCACTCAAAGTTTCAGTTCTTCTCATACAGTTCATGCAACATCCAACTCAGACAGCAGCTCCTTTTTTGCTGTGATGCACCTTCCTGAGATGTCACAGCCATCATATAACTACAAAGGAGCAATAAGACAGCTTGGGTGCATGTGTGTGTCTGTTTTCAAAGTTAGGTATTTAACAACAATAAAAAAAATAAAAACTGACAAAATATAAAGATGAAGTGTCTGTTACCTAATCCTCCTGTAGATTCTATGGTGGCTGTGACATTTGAACAAAGTGCAAGCTAGTGAGTCATTATGGAGGAGACGCTGGTAACTTGAGCCATGAGCATAAACCATGATTACTCCACATACTCTGTCCCTAACTAGTAGCTGAACCACATAGAAGTTTAAATTAGAGCCAATAGACCTGCACCGTCTAGCTCAGGCAGTAAAGTCTTATGCTCAGAGGTCCTGGGTTCAATTCCTGTTGCCAGTGACCCACCCAGGGGCATCAAGTTTTTACGTAAGTAAGATAGGATGGCAAGAATCTGAAAAGTGATTTAAAAAGAAGAGGATACAGATAAAATGTACTTAACACTCTTCATGGGTAGTTAAATGAACCATTTAGTCCATATTACTGAAGTGCATAGAATTTCTAGCTCTTGTGTTTCTGAATTCTAGCTACCATATTTCCTCGTAAGGATAAAAGTCCCTTTAGAATAATCTTTATTATTTTCAATCACAGATCATTAGAACTGCAGGCGCAGCACAGGCTTGCACACAGTTTTGTTACTGTACTTCAATCCCTGTGGCAACAAACAGCCCTGCAAGGATGACATGAGGTATGTTTTTTGTGTCTGTCTAGCCTTTTATTTTAAACTCATTACTTTAATCTTGGTCAATGCCTCAGACTGGAAAGCTGTTCCTTTAACCTTTTTACGTCACAATAGAAGATGCACACTCCCAGAATAATATTGTTGTTTTTTAAAAGGAAACGTACTATCAATCACTTGACTAATCTAACCCTACATGACAACAGACATTTCAATTTTAGAGTTTTCTTCAGCAGAGGCTGCTAGTCTTATCAAATTGTATGCTTTTGTTTTCTTAAGTTTAAACAGGAATAACATTCCAAATTCATTTTCACTTGTGACCTAGAGGACTGGAACCCAGAGCTCAAGCAGATGACATACACCAGGAACTCATTCTGCAGAATGTTCCAATAATAAATTAAGAGTCAGGTCTTACTGTAGCAGCTGTGGTATGACAAAATTATGCTCTATTAGTGTTTGTTTTCCTTCCATACCATAGAAGAGTTTAATATCATATTACAGAGAAAGAGGAAAACATTTAAACAGTTTTAGAAATATAAAAATCAAGTCTCATTAATCAGTCAGCTCAATATTAAGAAGTCTATACACAAAGCAGCTCTTCAACCCAACTATGAAATGCTGTCATTTCTATATACCACAGTGATGAGCATGGTATCAATAACTAAAAGTACAGCAATGTCTTAACAATGCATAGAAATACTATGCAACAGTTTAAGACATGAAGTAAATACCACATCGAATTGGAATTCTAGGAGGAATTTAGCGGAATAGAACAAAATTAGTGCATTTGACTAATTTAATTTATCGGGGTTAATATGCCCATCCCTCCTAAAAGTATTGCCATAGGATCTTTAAATGACAAGTTTCACCATGGTTTCATGTCTCATCTTTGTGAAGACTCTGAATAAGAGTGAAAAAAAAATAAAAACAGAGGACTGTACCATAGTGGAAAATTATTAAATTTAAAATTTTATATAACTGTTGCACAAAAGGTATGTAGGTTGCTGTAATATACATATTGGAAATCCACTGGACTGACCTGAGGCAAACAGAGCTGTTCAGCCCTGCATGTACTGAAGAGTTAAGTATATTTCAATACCTTCAAAACATCAGGCAGCATTTTCTGCAGTTTCTTCTCCCCTATGACACAGAAGCACTGATGAAGCATTTCTTTTTTGTCTGCAATGTAGAAACTAACTGGTTTTAGTGACACACTGAGGTCCAGTCCACCTTCTTCTATGTCGCTGTGCTCTTCAGCTAACTCCTCTTTTTCTGCAGATGGCACAGTACATTTTATTTCCTAAAATTAAAAGATTAAAATACTTGGAAAAATAAAATGGAAATTGTCTCTTTAATAAGTCAAGAAAAGAGGAAAGATTTTACAACGGTGTCTGCCTCAACAATACGGTTCTTACTATAAAATGTTTAAAAGAATATTACAAATGAACATCTTGTATTTCTGGAATGTTATGAACCTTTAAGTGCTTTACATTGTAAGATTGTAAAAGTTACATGAATGCTCTTCAAATGTGTAGGCCAAACATTAATATCCCTCTCAAGAGACGGCTATTTTGACTCATCCTAGCAGTCTGAAAGATCATAAAGCAAAGAGCTACTTCGCCACATAATCTGAATAATATATTTGGAAAAAACGAAACAAAACTTTGCCCACTTGGCTATAACTGGGCTGCCGTATTCCCTGAAATTAATGGAAAACAAGGGGAGAGATGTTTGGCAGCACAAAAAACATGTTCCTCAGGTATGTCTGACGTAGTTAATCACAATTAACCTTTGTAAGACTACTGCTAATGACAAATGTCTTGTTGAAACACAACAGTTTGGGCACAGGATTTTGAGGGCCGAGTTTTTTTTTAAGAAAGGGTGGAGTAAATGTTAGGACAAGAACATGTATTGGGCAGGGGGATGGGATACAGTAAAGGCTTAGAGATTCCCCCAGAAATTTCTTTTCATGTAGCCCCCCTTACCATCAAACATTAAAAATTAGCTAGTAAACATGAAACTGCTTTCCTATAATGCAATTCTGTAGACACTAATATACAAATTTTGGTCACCTCTAAAACTTGTCCCGCACCTAATTTCTCATGGGAAAAGTTATGCAGCTCACCAATACTTCAGACTAGCACCACACAGTTTCAGCACTTTATTCCTTCACCAGGTTTCTATCTTGTTTGTCTTTTTTCTACTCTACATTCGTGTCAGTTCCTTTCTATTTTCGTGTTGTGTGTAAAAGGCTTCTGAGCCTGATTCAGGAGTTTACTTCCAATGAGGATGTGTCCGTTTCTTTTTGAAGCCAGCACTTCACAGTGGTTCTCATAGGAAACTACCTGCAGGCACGCTAAAGGGAAGGGACTGGTGTAGCTGCTTCAAATCCAGCACTCCAAGAGGAGCTGGCAAGGTCCGGCCACCCCAAAGAGAGTGGGAGCAATGCTACCCTCGCCGTGGGGCAGATCTGGGGAGTGCAGAGGAAGCGGGAGCAGAGCCATGGGGGGTTTCCAAGCCCAGCTCTGGAAAGTTGCTTTCCTCAGACGGAGAGACAGGCCGTTTCCCCTTGATGCCAGTGGGTCAGGATTGAGCAGAGGCCCCTCCGGGGGGCGCTTTCACCCTGTGCGGGTTAGAGGCCGGGGGGTCGGGAGGGGGCCCCTTCCCTGGCAATGTCTAATCGCATGGGGGCTCTGCTGTAGCCCACGCAGGAGCTGGGCCGGACAGTCCCACCGCCCGTGTCACGCAGGGGGTCGGACGAGTCGATCCCACCGGGTCCTTCTGGTCTCGGGCTCCAGGAACCAGGCCGAGCACCCGCCTAGGCGGCCCCGGGCCTCCCGGCTCAACGCCGGGCCTAGCGCTCAGCACCACAGCCCCAGCCTCCCCCCGCTAGAGCACGGCCGCTTCCACTCGCCCAGCCGGGCCCCGGCCGCTCTGGGGGACGTTACCTCCAAGAGGCCGTAGCTGGACTCGGTACTTCGCCGCTTCCCCTCGGTGCTCCCCGCGCCCAAGCCCCCCTCGAGACCGCTGGAACGAGAGCGGCGCCGCTTCTTTTCCTTGGAGGATTTGCGGCCCGGCATCGGCCCGGCCTCACGGCGGTTGGAGCCGCGCCCCGTCCCCCACCAACGGTCACATTCCACCCCCTACGGAGTCAGCGACAGGGCACTGTTCACAACGCGCGCGCGCCACCGCGGGTGGATTCCATCCCCGCGACAACGGGGCGCTGGCGGCTCCGTGCTGACGTCAGAGCATGCGGACTTCCGGCGCTTGGTGGTGACGGACAGATTTCCGCTACAAGTACTTCCGGTGCTGGGAGGCGCCGCGGTTTCCTGTGCCGTGGTCTCCCCCGCCCCCTCGTGACGTGCCGGCAGCGGGGGACCCTGGCCGAGGCTGCCCGGCATGTCCCCTGCCGCAGGGTCCCCGGGGCTTCCTGCGAGCCGCCCGCCCCCTAGCATCCGTGGCACGGGTTCAGGCGCTGTCTATACTAGGGCCGACGGGCCGTGTGCGAGCGGAGGCTGCCGGCGGCTGGGAGAACGTGCGGGTTGCTGTGGGGCCGAAAAGTCCATTACAGCAACGCACGAGACACCAGCCCGCTGTGCAGTGCAGTGCAGTGGGGCTGTCGAGCGGCAAAGAGAAGCCCTCCCAGGCCAAAGGTCCGTGTAGAAGCGAGCATCCCCTGAAGGAGAGTGGAGGGAAGCTCGGAGAGTTGTTGGCAGCAGGAGGGATGGCGGGGGGGGGGAAGGATTCGGGGATTTGTCAGAGCAGTAGGCTGCATGCTCCCATATCCTCCAGGCTGTCCCACTGCTAGGCCTGCTTGTTCCCCAGCAGCATTTTCCTTCTTACTTTAATAAGGAAGGTTTCAGAGTAGCAGCCGTGTTAGTCTGTATTCGCAAAAAGAACAGGAGGACTTGTGGCACCGTAGAGACTAACCAATTTATTTGAGCATAAGCTTACTTCATCGGAGCTGTAGCTTACGAAAGCTTATGCTCAAATGAATTGGTTAGTCTCTAAGGTGCCACAAGTCCTCCTGTTCTTTTTAATAAGGAAGTTAGGTCCAGCTGCCTCACCGAGCACCTTTCCACCTTCTTTTAGTGAAGATGCAGTTGGTGCTGTAGCCTGACAAATAGCAGATGAAGTCAAATTCTGCAACTGTACTGTTTGGTGCTTCTTTATTGTACTCCAGAGACTTGAGTTGCCATAAGGTCAGGGGAAGCACTGCAAAGGGCAGAGATGGATGGGTGGGAGAATGTTCCTTAATCAATTATATGGAAACTGGAACAATTTCAGAATAATCATCTAGGGTGCCAGATAAGGTTCTGTTAGTCTGTATCCGCAAAAAGAAAAGGAGGACTTGTAGCACCTTAGAGACTAACAAATTTATTTGAGCATAAGCTTTCGTGAGCTACAGCTCACTTCATCGGATGACTTTCCTGGCAAAGCATCATGTTGAGGCAGCCTGCATAGGTAATGTTAGCAGAGGGAGGGAAACTCCACAGATGAACAACTATCTGATAACTGAATGTACTATTTGCATATTTAAAACTTCTCTTTCTTTCTGTAGAGCACTCTTCAGAAAAAATTGCAGGTGGAGTAAGCACATTACCTGGATGTTTTTATAAGAAAAGAGTTAATATTGACATGTAAATGGTTGTGATTAATGTAGGATAAATATGAAATTAACTAATTAAATTTAGCTTAAGTTTGGTAAAGGAAATGTGTGTTGTAAAGAAAGGCCCTGACTAGCAAGGACGACGACCCTGAAAATAATGAGTAAAGCCAGAATGAATGAAGTAGACAGGATGTCTTCTTCAAAAAATAACTAATAAGATAAGAGGAAGTTTCTAAAAAAGAAGCCCTCTGACTAATAGCGGTGACTGCATATGGTTTTAAATAAGATAAAAGAAGTGTGTCTTAAAAGAGGCCAGTATAAACCTTCCGACCCCAAATACCAGTGTTATCTTAAAAATAAAGCCTATGTGAACCAAGGTAGAATGGAAAAACTGTTGGTCAGCAAGAAGGAGGGGACAAAAGACCTAGGAAGAAAGGAGGCTGTAAATCTTATCTACCTTAAAAGTGGAAATAAAGGTGACCTGTCTCAAATTGGTTTTTAGCTGAAGTCAGTAATTATCAGTGATATCATTTGTTTATTAAAGGGTTTAAGATATTCAGAAGTGGAGGGGTCTTTGTCAGACCCTACCTTATCGTGAGCACACCAGAATTAGATGGTTTTCCCTAGGTCTGGCCTATTTGTAAGTGTCTTGATCTCATGCTTATGAATACTTTGTTGTTGGATGTAGTGACTGCTTATTTTTAGGCTGTTAGGCATATTTAGAGCAATTGTATTAATACCATTTGGCCTTGGATTTAATAAAGGAATTTATGGTTAAAATAGTATGGTGGTCTCCTATATTAATTTCTAATAAGTCCTATTAGGCTTCAGAGTTAACACTCAATCAAAATGAAGGCAGTTCACACACTGTGCTATTATTTCAATTGGTACACATTTTCAAGCTTATTTTTGCAACCAGAAAAACTAGAAATACTCCCCCCCACCCCACCACGCATAAACGTATAAATTCAATAGAACACACATCAAAACTGCACAGATTCTAAATTCTACAAAATGGCCATACTGGGTCAGATGAAGGTTCCATCTAGCACAATATCCTGTCTTTTGGCCAATGCCAAATGTTTCTAAGGGAATGAACAGAACAGGGCATCTATCGAGAGAACCATCCTGTCATCCAATCCCAACATCTGGCAATTAGAGGCTTAGGGACACCCAGAGCATGGGGTTTCTTGCATTCCTGACCATCATAGCTAATAACTAGGGCCCTACCAAATTCGTGGTCCATTTTGGTCAATTTATTTTTAAAATCCTATAACTGAAATTTTATGGTTTTAACTATTTAAATCTGAAATTTCACTGTGTTGTAATTGTCCTGACCCAAAAAGAAGTTGGGGGGGGGGGGTTGCGATACTGCTATCCTCATCTCTGCACTGACTGCCTTCAGAGCTGGAGAGCGGCAGCTGCTGGCTGGGAGCCTACTCTGAAGACAGAACCGCCGCCAGCAGCAGCACAGAAGTAAGGATGGCATGGTATGGTATTTGCCACCCTTACTTCTGCGCTGCTGCCTGCAGAGCTGGGCCCTCAGTCAACAGCTGCCACTCTGGCCACCCAGCTCTGAAGGCAGCAGCACAGAAGTAAGTGTAGCATAGTATGGTATTGCCACCCTTACTTCAGCACTGCTGCTGGCAGGATACTGCCTTCAGAGCTGGGTGCCTGGCTAACAGCCCTTGCTCTCTGACTGCCCAACTCTAAAGGCAGTACAGAAGTAAGGGTGGCAATACCATTATCCCCCTCTCCCCAAAACTCCCTTTTGGGTCAGGATCCCCAATTTGAGAAACGCTGGTCTCCCCCAGTGAAAACTCTATAGTATAGGGTAAAAGCACACAAAAGACCAGATTTCACAGTCCGTGACACGTTTTTCACAGCCATGAATTTGGTACAGCCCTACTAATAACCACTGATGGACCTCCTCCATGAACTTATCTAGTTCTTTTTTAAAATCGGGTTAGTTTTGGCCTTCACAACATCCCCTTACAAGAAGTTTCACAGGTTGACCGTGTACTGTGTGAAGAAGTACTTCCTTTTGTTTGCTTTAAAGCTGCTGCCTATTAATTTCATTAGGTAACTCCTGATTCTATGTGAAGGGGTAAACAAAACTCTGCTATTCACTTTATCCACACCAGTCATTTTATAGACCTATCATATTCACCCTCAGTCATCTTTTCCAAGCTGAATAGTCCCAGTCTTTGTAATCTGTCCTCTTAATCATTTTTGTTGCTCTGGAAATGTAGGGCTGCTAGAAATCTACACACCAACTTGTTGCCGAGTGTTTTCTTTTCATAATGTTTAATAAATAACCAAGTCCTTGTAGAATTAATGGGAAACTTCCACCACTGACTTCATTTAGATTTTGAGTTAGTAGGGTGGTTAGGTTTTTTTTTTATTATTATTTTAGAGAGAGAGAGAACTCAGGTAAGATTTTGTCATGGTTATTTTTAGTAAAAATCAGACAGGTCATAGGCAACAAACAAAAATTCACAGAAGCTCATGTCCTGTCTATGACTTTTCTAAAAATAACCAGGGGGCAGGGCTAGGTAGGTGGGAGAAATGACAGCTGGAGTCCCATTCGGGAGGAACTGACAAGCTGAGCCCCAGCACTATTATGGAAGGCGGGAGCGCAGCCCTGGCTCCACCAGCCACAGCAGGGGAGAGGTGCGCAGGCCAGGCTCCAGAGCTGGCTGCACTGTGGGGCAGGGGCCCACAGCCCCGGCTCCAATCCCAGCCAGAGGTGCACAGCCCTGGGCGCAGCCAAAGAGGGGTGCATGGCCCTAGGAAGCTGCAAGGGGAGCACACAGCTCCGGCCCCAGCCCCAGGGCAGGGGCCCACAGCTCCAGGCCCAGCTGCAGGGCAAAGAAGCTCATGGTCTGGGGTCCAATGAAGTGAGCTGTAGCTCACGAAAGCTTATGCTTAAACAAATTTGTTAGTCTCTAAGGTGCCACACGTAATCCTTTCCTTTTAGCTGCTGGGCAGGGGCACATAGTCCTGCCTCCAGCCCCAGCTTCAGCTGCAGACAGCTGAAGCCAAAGAAGTCACAGAAGTCAGATAAAGTCACAGAATCAGTGACAATCTTATCCTTACTCATAGGATGCAGCAATATATAGGATGAAGCTGTATTGACTGAGTCAGTGCCTGAGTTGATGACTGGTGACAACATTTAGTGAGGCTCAATGCAGTTGGAGCCAATAAGCAGTAGACCGCTCAAAATGTTTACAACAGACCTCCTTACAGATTGCCTTACCAAACTGTTTATAGAAGAGATAGCACCTGTACAATTATTCTATTATGAAAAGGGATTCGGTGGAATAATACTGCAAGGTTCCCGTCAAGGTTTGTCTCTAAGTTTAGATTTCCATCTCTTTCAACCTAAACAGCATGACTGAATGGTTTATCCAGCATCTGGTTAAGACTGGCCTAGATTAGAGTCAACTGTCTCATAACACTTAGCTCTACATAAGCCCTTTTCACGTTAAGATCTCAGGAGGATACTATTATCCCTATTTTACATTCAGAGAAAGTGAGACAGAGGTTAGGGCCCAGATTGTCAAAGATATTTAGGCACCTAGCACCTACTGAAATCAATGGGAGCTAGGCAGCTGCATACTTGACTTTCCTAAGGTCTCACATCAA